TACGGATCCCGCCCAGAAGGCAATCACCTGTGGCTTATCGAGTTAAAGTGTGCTCTAAATTTTACTTAGGAAAGCTGTTTAGGAGAAATGTTGGGTTTCTTCTCAGATTTTTACAGGTACACACATTCCCAACCCACGATGAATGTTCCTTATGTTCTTTGAGTAAAATGAGGTAACCGACTACAAGCTACCTGATTAAAGGTGATACAGATGGTGATAGAAGAAAGCAGAGTGGGTATCAAGAAAATCATAGGTTTGTGTGAATGAAAATATTTCAGGCCTAGTTCATCACATTCCTCTCGAAATGTGAGTGTGTAGACACTTTGACAGCATGCGCTTAGAAATGAAGATCTAGCTCTAAACTGCAAACAACATACCCCAATTGAGCTTTAACTCAACACGACTTCTTGAAATCTTAACATGCCGACAAACCTTTGCAGAAAACAACATACAACATCCAAAATTTAACCTAGTGACTGATCATTTTAATCATTTATAAATATTTCGGGAACACACCGATGGTCACGAATCAAAGACCCATACTTAAGCAGGACCGCTTCACAGGATTAACAGGTGGGACTTCCTTTCTTTGCATTATAAATTATTTTAAAAGAAATAAAAACGGTATACAAATGGACCAGAGTCACATGCGTCTTCTTACAACGTTGCTCGGACGCATTTGAATGAACTCAGCCGGGGCGCACGCCCTGGCCGGACAGGCCATTCGTCAGTTTAACGAGCTACACACAATATTACAATCACAGCCAACGCGACACATCCACTGAATGACCAAAGGATGACGCATGTACGAGGCAATGAGGACGGAATACTCGTCGGCCACGACGAGATCGCTATCACTCGGGAGAGCTCCCGAACTGCTGGAGATATGCTGCCGTCAACAGGGCGCAGTGTTGTCCGTCGCCTGAGACGCAGTCGCCACGGCGACCAAGTAGTGTGATCAGGATATGGGTGAATCACGATCATTGTCATACTGACCGGATCGAAATAATTAATTACTAATAGCTAGAAGTTGAACTAGCCAAAAAAAAAACAGGTTAGACCAGACATCTGAGTGCCATAAATTTTCGGAAGCGATAAATTTTACCAGAAAAACTGTAGATATTCCGCTCATTTGAAAAGTCGTGAATTTGATTAGGTCGATTCAAGAAGTGTAGGCCACTTTCAAATGGTTCCAGGAAGGAGCGCCTACCTAAGGACAGTGGTTAGAATCGTTTATGCAGTCGATGATCATGTCATGGACGGGTTTCTTCGTGATTAAAGCGTAAGAAAAAGAAAAAAACATTTCTAAAGAAATTGGATGACGAGCGCTCGTTAGGTGAAACCAGCCAATAAGCCAACCACAGTGGTCGTAAACAGTTCAGTAAATGTTCACTTTATCAGAAAATGGCTACATTACAAAGTGGTACCGAAAGCCAAGTAGTAAAAACATCTTGGTTCATTACCTCTCCTCTCACCCCTCTCACACGAAAAGGGCGCTTATAAGAAACATGTTTCGAACAGCAACCAACGTGTGCACGGGAAGAGAGCAGAGAGAGGAGTCCCGGAACTTGGCACGGCAAATAGCCGTTTCTAATGGCTACGAAACTGTGGCTTAGAATAGGTGTAGAGGAAATAGTAGGCCTCCAAACGACAACTCTAGCGATAGAAGGGTCCCGTTTATCCTACCCTTTATCTCAAATGATATAAGTACAGCTATAAAGCGCTGCTTAAGAAGGGCGGGCTTAGAGAATTCGGTGAGCGTAGTTGAAATAGCACCGAGTAATCTTAAGCGCCAGCTAGTTCGTAACCGCCTATATGACCGCCTATGTGCAACTCAAAATTGCATAATTTGCCCCAGTGGTAGAGACGGTGATTGCATGAGCTCGGGTATAGTTTATCTGATCTCCTGTAAGACGTGTGGTGACGAATACATTGGCGAAAAGAGTAGACCCCTCTGAGTCCGCATGAAAGAACACCTAGCCGGCAAACATAGACCAAATGCCCCGTTAGGCATGCATAGCACCCAGAGACATAACGGGGAGGACTTTGAAGTACGTGTCACGATCCTCGCACGCGAATCAAGAACACAGGCGCGAAAAACTCTCGAGGCACTCTGGATTAATTCCAGAAATCCGAAAATGAACCGCAGGGAAGAATGCCTCATTATCACGCGTTATATAGGGCAGTATATAAAACTGCTTTTCTGATGTGAGGGGCACATTATACTTCCACGTGATTTCTGTGCGGTTGGTCTCTACGTGACATACTTAGTGGAAACCTCATAGGAAGCGGTGAGTGTACAAAGCTGTGTTCAAAGTGATTGAAATCTTGGTTTGGGGTTTCTTTGTTTGGTTATGGAGGCGTCTGGCCGAGTAGATTGCTATCAACTTGACCTTTCCAGGCTCTGAGGAAGGCGAAATCCGCCGAAACGTCAGCTTAATCGTGAACAAAGAATAGTAACACCTCGCGTTTGCTCAACAAAAATACGAAGAAGTTCACTTTATCGTTTTTTTATTTCTCCAACATCTATATTTTATTCCTTTATAAAAGGATAGAGGATAAAACTATCGGCGTTTATCAATCCCGTAGGAATGCGCCATGCATCCGACTTTATTAAGCATCGTGTGCTCGTGATTGAATGCATATCTGGCTTTTACAATAACTTGCGGTGGCCTACCGGTGTATCGAACCAGTGCTGCTATCCTCACGGACAACTCTGGTGCCAATTTGCCGACCCCGGACTGATGGAAGGTTTGGTGAGCCACGGACACAGGGATCGATTCCATATGTATGTTGCAGAGCACCAGAAAATGGTCTAGATGGTTCGATGTTCTTCTTCAATAAGCAGACACGAGGTTGTTAATAACCTCGTGTCGGCTTATTGAAGAAAAACATCAATTTATCAATCAATGCCGAGGTTAAGAGAAAGTCGGTCTTGGGTCCAGATGGTCCTTCTAATCCCTTTCAAAGGCCTCAATCCACTCAGTTTCAGCCGTTACAAACATGACATGGATGTAAAGTATACAACGAAGGAGATGTGCTGAATGGGTGCCTGAACTCATTATTCTGTTCTTATCACTACTGATCTAAAGGAATCCATACGCAAGATCAAATACGTGAGCGGCCATCAATCGTCGTAGAGCGCCGCCACCTTCTGTCCCATTCTTTCTTATCACCGAGACATTCGACGTACCACATTATGCTTCCTATATATTTTTCTTTTAAAAATTGGTTAGAAAAGATATATGGTTGATCGATGTGAGCAGCAATTCGTTTAGAACTACGGGTACTCGTATTACTCCACCTTCACAACCTTCGCCGTAGTAGGCGGAGACGGAACATCGCTTCATATTCGCGCAAAATTGGAGGTGAGCTCTTAAAATTGTTTTTTGAGCTGTGGAGGAACAGAAATATTACAACCTTCAGAATAATTCCATTCTTTCTAGTTTTACTATTCGTAGTACGCTTGCTGTACTAAATATGTGAGGGTATCGTTTGGTGAAAATGGAATATCTGCAATTGTCGGGGATAGCACAGCAACATTTCTGGACCCCTGCAAGGAAAGTGAATATCTGAACTCGCTGATCTTTCCGGTGAATGCAGAGCCGTCGTGTGCTTATAAAGAGTTGGATTTCCTCGTTCCGAATTTCCATCCTTTAAGTTGCAGTGAAGATCACTACGTGCACAGTAGGAATTATTGCACAAATGGAAGAATTGAATCGGATTTGCTTGACGTTCGCATTGAAGTATTGCCTGCGTTCATAATCAGACGCTCGCATCCATACACTTCTGTTCGCATCGATATGGTAACATAATGGTCATCCCCAGTGAAGGCACGAAAGGATGACATCGACGACATAACCTCGCCTAAATCATTGTGACGACTGTTCAATTTTATTACGCCGTATATAAGATCTCCTGGGTCACGTAACAAAGGAAAATTGGGGAGATCGCAGTTGTTGACGTGAGGTTGTTGCTGTTGTTGTTGAAGAGGACGCTTCCGTGTCTTCGACTATTGCTAGGAAGTCAAGGTTTTGCAAAATATGCCCATCTACTGCTCTTAAATTTCAGTGAAACTACCTCATTATAAGATCAGGTATCTCCTTTCGAACAATCTGTAACTTCGTGTGTTCTTTACGAGTGCTAACACATTCGTCAATTGGGACCAGTGAAAATTCGGCCTTGGGAATATGTGTATTATTATTTAAATTTCTCAAATTATTCGGAGCTTTCAGCGGTACGTAAGCGGGTGTAGCGCAATGGTTTGAGGCCCAGCAATACAAATGCATCCTCAGAAATACAAGTCCATCGATCCCCACACCGAGGCTCATCAAGCCTCTCATCCCTCCAATGTCGGCAAATTCACATTCATACCATGAAAGGTTAAAAGGGATAAAACTCTCTGCATTGATGAGAGATGCGCCATGCATTCGACTTCTTAAGCATCGCTGGAGATGACTGAATGCATATCTGGCCTTTAAAATGGCTCGTGGTGGCATATCGATGTATCGAGCCAGTGATGCTATCCTCCCAGACAAGTCTGGTACCAATTTGCCGATCCCGGAGGAATGGAAAGCTTGGTGAACCTTAGGCGCCTCCGACCACTACGCCACACGCACCCCTTGGAATTGGGAATTAATCAGTGTTTGTAATAGTGAAAGAGCAAACATGGCGTAATGTTGTTCATTGAAGGAAATGATAATATAAAAAGGCCTTCTAAAAACCAATGACAGCTAAACACATAGATATACAATAATACAGAAAATTGCCACATAACAGCTATTGGATCTGGACAGATAACAATAGCAAGCTTATGAATTGGCAGAAAAACAGTACGAAATAATGAACAACATTAAAGATTCAAATCCATTGAAAGAAAATTAAAAAACATAGTTGCTTACGCAGAGGTATGAAGAGGCTTTGAATTACAATATATGTAATTTATGGAGGTGAGACATTTACAATAGAACACAACATAAAAGACTGAAACATCGCACAGTTCAAGGCCAATGCCCATGACCATAGTTCGTTCCAATGTTTCCTGTTCTAATAGCTCTAGAATCAGCAAAAAATAATAAAAAATGAATTCAAAAATCATCCAACGTATTAAAATGATACACTGCTTTAGCCCACCGCGTGTAAATCTCAATTCGCACAAAGATAACAAAAACAACACAAATCTCGAACCTGTTCCAAATATACCAATCGTAAAAGGTTTTGTTGAGAATGGCACACTGATCTGGTTCGAAACCAAAACCAGCAAAAATCTAAAAATATTTCATAAGTAAAAAATTCTACTCACTGTCAAATAAACAAGCATCTTTATTTTTAAGTTATCAGCATGAAACTCATTAGCTAAGGTGCACTTAGATAGCAAGAACCTCCCGTGTCTTAACATAAGCGATTCACTCAAACTAGGTCAGCCGTCCTCCTGTTGACCGTCGAGTGACTCGAGTGACCGCTAGTAAATCATCCACTTCTCTTTGTCGCGTGCAGCAGTAACCCAGTGGGATCTGCTCGCTTTAACGATTCGTTGAGCCTCATACCCTTCTTCTAGAGCTTTCCTGAAGAACTCTCTTTAAGATCTCTTATCGCATGTCTGCATTGTTTTGCAAGTTTAGACGCGAGTTGGCGGTTCCCTCTGGCCTGCAGAATTCCACGCTGATGTATCAGCTACAGGGTTTCTTGAGACAGATATCTCTTGGACACTTTCAAGTTATCAACTTACATAGTGCCAAAGTTAATAAGTCGAATGAACTCATCGTATTCCTCGTCCATGTTATCAAGAACATCATCTTCCCAACAGCCGACTAATGAACTGAACAAGTATCGGTTGGTGGTGGTTTTGTCACCTCAGTTTTTTATTTTGGCGACTTTTTCTCCTTTCCGCGAGAAACGGAATCTTGCACGAAGCAGGAGATAGTTTGATCCCGTGAAGAATTTTGGGACAACAGCTATATAGGTTAGGCAAAATCCTCGATTTACTATGATGCGGTTTCTTTCGTTATGGTATTCTCTATTGTTAGACTCCCACGTCAAGTGTTGAGAGTGGGGCTCCAAATTGGAATTGAGAGTTACCATGAAAAGTCTTGATGGTCGTGATAAAATCAAACAACCTCCTTTTCAGCTCGTTCAACTCTAATCTGTGCACCTCAATGCGACGCTCCGAAGACATTTTTCTCTGTCTAGTCCCAGCATTAAAGTGTCAAATTATGACCTCGGCGAATGTATGGTCTTCTGTGTAGAAATTCTCCAGATCCATAAAGAATTAGTTTGATGTCGGTGCTTAGACGATGGAAATTGTCAAACCCGGTACCGATCGACATGTCCTAAACCGTAAATGTCCGATTCTAGTAGTTAGATGTTAGGATAAATCAATGTTAATCAGTCGTGTTGATTAGAACGCCGACCCTTCTATTGCCGCATGTTCGAAGGAACCGTTCTTCACCGGTGTCACAGACGGTGTTGAATAAGGAGCGTCTTCTAGTCTCCGCCAGTTCGATGGCGTCGCACCTTATACTTCCTGCCTGCATCATCAAGTCCTCTATCGAGGACTCAGATTCAAGTGTGAGTGCATTGAGGGGACAGATCGTCATCCCAGTCCTTTCAGATTTCGGCAGCCTAAAATGGTTCTGAGATTCCTGCAGCTTTTCCCTACCTTTCCTACCCAAGTCTGCCGTATCCGGGTCCTTTCTGGGTCAGGGGAATCAGACCTACTTATTTTACCGTGTTAAGCGCTTGATACTCACGTATAGCTTGCCGAGCTCTGAAGTGGAGGTTGTGTGCTCTCACGGGTAGCTTGCCACGCACTCTGATAGTAGACAAGTCTGCTTATTTGTTGGAGGTGACTCTTAACCGCCTCCCATATACTTCCCTGTCACTTGATTTCAGGCTTTTTAGCCGAATTCAGTATTAAGATAGCATCCGCATAAACGAGAACACACCGACGCGCGCATGGATGAAAACGACCTCGTAAATACAGAAGGTATGCGCTAAGCGGCGCAGCAGAAACAGGTGGTACATCCACTGGATTCACCCGTTTCAGGGAATCGTAAGGTTGATTTCGATCCGCGACTAACCCCTATTTGCGATCTGGAGACACACCACACTGCCTCGCGACTAACCGGCATGAGATCCCTCTTTGAAGGAAATCCGTAGAGATAGGATATTTACAATTATTAGCATTAATGTTCTGAAGTTTATAAACAGTAAGCGTTAAATAAAATATGTCGAGGTGTAAATTAACATGAAAGTGGTGAATAATGTATTCAATCTAATATGTGAGCGGCGAATAGTATAGCACAGTAAAAAGAAAATTACAATGAATTCACTAACGTCATTGCGATAAATCCTAGCGAGATCACCTAGCGTGAAGATAGAATGACGCTCAAATTCATCAGCGAGCGAAGCAAGTCCTATGCTTCGTTTACCCAACCACCTAAATGGTAAGAAACGGAAAATGACCACAAAACTGCCAGCAATGGAGTTGAGTTTCATTCCTGTAGTTACCTGGTGATTTCTCAACTTAATTGAAAACATAATGTTTAATTACTAAGATTACGCACGCCCTAATACGAGTACCGGCAGTTGGCACACAGATGTCGCGGAATGGATTTTCTTCTATATCCATACAAACCAACTGATCGAATTTCTCTTCGTTTTGTAGGAACCACAGGCATTTACTCGCTTTATGTGGGTCGATGAACTACAAGTATTTAGAAGTCTCCACAAAATGCGTAAAAAGAAACAATATGAACTAATACATTAATTGGAGCATCTTCCTGTGACAAAAAGCGAACCTACATGGAATTCGATTTGATGGGTGACGTCAACAGGATACTCTTGAACACGCATACGCTTGCTGGTACAATTACCAACTCTCTGCGGCTTCCTACGCTGAGTCATCTGACCTAAATAGGCACTGTGGTAAAAATGCAATATTTAATTATTAATAGCAAGACAACGATGAAATAAGCCATGTTGTCCTTGTTTGTGGAGTCCAGCTCGAAATCTCACAACAGCCACAACATCTTCTAAACAAAAATACTGTGATCGCATGAGTAACGAAGGAGATGCGCTTTTAAAGGAAACGAGTGCAATACGGAGGTAGATAGAAGTATGATACGGATAACGTTAACTTTTTATTTTCTGCCTTTTACATTCTTTCACGGCAGGGTATTATGTGTGATACAACAACAACAATGCTGAGATATTTGCAAAACTCCGGATCACCGGCGTCAGCGGTGGGAAACCAACGCGCTATTACCCTTTCCGGGGGCTAACGCGTTTACCACCACACCATGAGGGTCCTTTTGCAAGCGATGATACGAATATTTCGCAATTTACTCTAGGAATCTTGTGAAATATTCTTAAAAATGATAACTGAATTTAATACAATAAGTATTTTTTGACAGCTATCCTGTTGACGCGAAAATAGGGACCACCCTTGTCATTACGAAGATTCTAAATAATCTTTGCAATGAATACTTTTTCATGTGTTGTTGATACGTACAGTATTAAAACCTGTTTCTTGCGCAACAATTTGCTCAGTAAGAATTTTTCTGAAACCTAGTTTACAACGCTTTTGGGCTGATTGAAGTGTACATGGGCATAAAGCAACAGCTGAAATTCTAAATGTCGCCTAACAACTGCCCATAGAAGAGTTTCCGTACGTAGTCCGAAAGGCTTCGTACGTCAGTCCTTACGACCTAGAAGGTCTAGTGAGCACACTAGCAGTTAATAACGACGAGGCAATGAAGCCGACAATCGGAACTATCCGCCCACAAATTATCTGACAGATTATAAAAGGACTTAAGATTCACAAATAAACAATCGTCCCATGTGCGGCAAAACAGTGAAAGAATGAACGAACTCGATAAACGAACGCCGAATGAATCGAAAACGGCTACAAGATTGCCACCAGGAAGCCTCTTTTGCCCATTTCTCTTACATAAAAAACCTATTTTTCAACATTCCTGTGATTTGTAATGTAAGCCGATCCTATACGATAAGAGACGATGTTCAGCAAAAAGACTTGAATGGGACGATGTTCCTAAACACTTGCCAAAACCGAATTTCTATAACAACGTCACTGTGAAAAAACCGAGCAAATCGCACGAAATAACTGCTATGAACACTCGAATCGAATGATCGTAATTGTGAGGAAGACGATAGAGCCGAAACATCGGCGATGATACATTTGCGACAATGCCTCCTAAAGTTAGATGAAAGCCGACATTAGGAACTGTTTTAATGCCTCCGTAGGTTGAATTTTTTTCCCTCATTGGTTAATACAAGAGCATAATAAAATGCATTTTACGAATGTCACCTTATCAAGCAGAGAAGGAAAACTAAGTGTACTCACTGTTAGACACTATTTCACGACAATGTTCGAACAATCTCCCATCTTCCTTGGATGCATCGCGTGAAGGGTTGGCACAAACTTTTAGCGGAATCCTGTACGTCTCCACTTGGCTTTTATCTCTGGAAGAAATTAATGTTGAGAGCGTTAGACCGTTCCTCCAAACATCATGCCTATATAAAAAAATATTTTCCGAGATATCGCTTTGAAAATATCATATTGAGACACGAAATGGAGTCTGAAATTAAAGATGAAGTAGTGGTTGTTAACAGTGTTCCAGCAAAATTATGATAACGCAGTGATTGAATATGCTGTTCAGGTTAGGCAAAAGTCACGCAGAAATTTTGGTAGAAACAAAATCTGTATGTATGTTTCATCACAAACGGAACTTCACAACGGTTCACAGCCTCAACGTGGGTGGAAGGTGTTCCTGGGTGTCGGACTGCGATGTACAGCGGGGGATTCATCCCCTGGCAGGCTTTGCCATGCTGAGAATGAGTCCAACGTCTCCATCAGGAAGCCTAGCTAAGAGTAAACCAATACCAGCATCCACCACCGTCTTGGTATCAAAGTGGCATGGTGGTAAATTTCCCCCTGATCTGTAAGGGCTGCAACCACCCGTCGTGGTGAACACTTGAGGCATTTGGCCAGGCTAAACTTGGGATTCCAGGAAACCACAATGGTTTAACCAGATCTCCGAGAAATGGAGATTATACTGGGGCCCTCAAAACCAGTGAAGACGGGCCATCCACGTAAGTAAGTATCAAGTATCATAAACGAAACCAACAAAACGACGTTCACGACAGACGCAACTTACGCTCCTTCAAGTACGAAGGTGATTTGAACCAGACGACGGTTAATGCCACCAGAACAAGAATTGAAGCACATGAACATGAAACCAGTCTTCTGGCACACGGGAATACGCAACTCGTAATTCTCATTGGAGTCGAGATATTCAGTCTGTGAATGCTCACATCTCACAAAATGCATTTTGATATCACTACCTGAAAAAAACATTATTTTAACCCATACAAATGTATTTGTCACGCATGACACTCACCATCCTTTGCCAAGTGATTCGGACAACGCGCGACGGGTTTGCTCATGTACCTCTCTTCCACATACTCAGCACGAACGCGTATATGTGATTCAGAATCACAATTCGGAGGGAAAGTGAACATGAAAGGCACCATGACTTCCGCCTTGCAATACAAAGTCCGGGCATTCTTGGCCGTAGCCGTCTGAATATTTCAAATTTTCAGTAACGTAATTCACTCCAAACAATGCTAGCGAAGTATGAACAGCACACCTTTCACGGCTACTCCTATAATAAATTCGTGACTATAACAACCAAGCAAACATGCCGTAAAAACGACTAACATAATAACACTACTGCATAACGAAAGCGATGACGGACATTTAACGAACCCCAAAAACATAATCGAAATTTCTTGATGATTTTAACTGCGGAGTTACTCCTACCGTGAATCGCTTGTTCTCTCTGAAATTATGTAAGTACACCTAGACATCAAGTACCAAGTACATGGTCGAATTAAGAAAACAGATCAGAAATACAGAAACTGACTCGGAGTCATTAGGAGCAAACTGTTGGTAAATCCGATCCTGTGAAAGCTTAACTGCCGCAGGACTACTGGTTTGCGTATTGCGCACCATGCGAATCGCATGGGATTTATGGTCACCCTATAAGTAAACAAATTAGTGTTTCCATCTAGACTAGAACAGCTGCACTACGATTCTGAAATCAGCATGAGATGAAAACAGAAGACTTATGAGTGTATGTAAGCGATATTGGAACCTCTCCTGTTAGAGAACTTTAGAACGATTTTTCTTGTTCTCACAAACCAAATTGGACCCAGACCCATTCACAAACATTGGCATATCACAAGAGTGAAACCCGTGCTCTGCCACACTTTAACTTTCCAAGCGTTACACAGTAGTTGTTTGCAAACGAATGATATCTACTTAGATATCTTCGCTCCAATTTACTAAATTACCGTTAGCTATGTAGCTGTTTAAAATAACGTTAATTAAGCAAATACACTGAAATTCTTCTGCACAAACATCGGCACGACGGTTAGGGACCAGATAGAACCAGATAGGCACGGAACTGTGCTTAAAAGAAATTGAGATGAACAAGTCTTAACAGGTTTGCGACGATATTAACACCATAGTATCCGTAAGTAGCGGCAAGAGTGGACACTGTTGACACTATAGTAACGATTTTTTGTTCAGTGGGACTTAAAACTTTTTCATACGTGATTAGTATATTCACTCGACAGCCACTCGAAACCACATCGACGGAGCAGAGATGAGACTTGGGAAGTCAATCTTTACACTTAATAATTTACACCCTTTCTTGCACGAGTTAACTGGCTGGTAACTTGACTTATTTAATTTTAATTTCTTCGATGAATAATGGCTATTGCATGGAATGTGTCGGTGTAAAAATACTGAGATAGACTCAACACAAGCTGTCAAACCTTCCAAATACTAATAACAATGTGTTTGCATGATGGACCCTATTAAAACATGGTGAATAGCAGCAAACATACCACGAGATACTTATAGAACGATAGACCAAAGCCTCTTCTACAGTCCTGTCATGTTCACAACACCTCGAGTCCTCTAATTATCGAAAAATTATTGTTTACTGTAGAAAAAAACCAGCAAATTTGCAAACGGTCAAAATTAGGCTCAGTCCCAAATGCTTTGAAGTGTATAACAGCTTGATAGTTGGTGTTCCGCCTTAGGACAAAAAGAGAGACTGATAGGCTTTGTAGATGGATACACTACATAGACAAATACACAGAACTTTCTATAGATGTGTATTCCATCTTTAGGAAAAATATGTGTAGCCGTTCTAGATTGATCGATGCAACACTGCCTTGTTTAATGAACATCGTGCAAAGGAGTAACTTATCCACTGTAAAGCCGAGGAAGGGGGCAGCGAACGTAATAAGACATTAGAGTTGTTAGTGCTACGACTGAAGCACTATGTAGTCAATATGATACTTTTTAGAAAATTTGTCACTTAACTTTAAAAAGGACGTATCGACAAACCCTATTTGCACACTATCGGCTGGTTATCTTCATAAACAACGAATGGAAAGCAATTTTCCACAAAAACCTATCAAAACGCTAAAACGCTCTCAAAAAATGGCACTGGTTCAGAATGCACATCTTTTTCGAAATTTTTGCAATCCCGATGCAAATCACATTCGTCCAAACTATCGCTGTTGAAGCCAGCGTCACCGCTCCAATTCACATTTGTCATACAACACAAACTCCATACTTGTTGCCAAGCATCCATTTGAAATCAAACCTGCACTACACTGGACGACAGCCTCAATCTTAAAGTTCCCACTAGGGCCAAACATTACCGAAAGATATAACCCTTTCTGCAACAACACCTCACACGGACAAGGATGAGTACTCACTAATACGACCACTGATCACAACCACCGGCGTTCTGCTTATATTTGTCAGGTTCCCTAACAATAAGCACATTGGTTTACCTTGCAATTTCGAACCAATAAAACGTCGTTAGCAAACCTGATCGAATGTCTGCTGCCCCATCCTTGTGCCAGTGTTAACCATCCACTGACCCATGTGTTGTTGTTGAACAGCAGGCTGAGCAAACTCGCCATACAACGCATTGGAGATAGTGTTGCCCTTCAACATAAGTTTTCTCTGCTTACATGTGAAACTAAAAAGAAAAAAGGTTTATAATAACATCCTGTAACAAAGACCCTAAGTAACAAAGGAAGTATGCAAACACGTATAGTTGGACCACATTTGACAAAGGATACATATGCCTTTGCATCATTGGTTTATAAAAGGAGATGTGTTCCAAAACCGTAAAAAATTGTGGTTTTCGATGGCACCTTCTCATTACGGCCGAAGGTGGGTAGTTCGGACTATAATTATAATTATAAGGTTCCTTATTATACGTATAAGATAAGAGCGTTGAGCTTCTAAACCTCATTTCTATCTCAACTCTTCTTCCGTTCCCTCTCAAGAGCGGCAGCTTGTATAGCTATCTACATACTATTAGCTACCGATATCGTCATATTCAGCACATGAGCGTTCATAAATTCCTTACGACTGTAAAGAAATCTTCCATTTCTCCATCTAACTGTCCTTCCTAGAGGTTTTCTTTTTTGAATTTGACGTACCAGATATCTACAGTGGATTAACAAAACGTTCAGTTTGAATACAATCTCTTTTTCTTCATCCCTCGCAATCTTATGTTCATGCACTCACTACGGGAGCCTAAGCGATCTCAAGAAATTCTTAACAATGCTGGACTTAAATATACAAACTTCTCTGAACTGACTCTATTGGAGACGGAAATTTTAGGGCAAAATTTGGGGTACTTGTATAATTGGATGGTCCGTCTTCACTGGTTGTGCGGGCCGCAGCACAATTTGTGACAAATGCGACAAATTTTCAAGGCTTAGAAATCCTATATTCTCTCGCTATTCCACGATACCATCATCCAAAGAATGTGATATACTAGATTCCCAATCAAATCTTTTCCTCGTAGCGTTATAACAACCTCTCTAGAAACGTCATTTGACAAGTTGTTGGGAATGTCGTTCGAATAGTCAGAACGTATTCAATTATGAGCGGACTTTACCCGAAAACAGAGAGGAAACTTGAGAAATATCCTTTTGAGGTTAGCTGACCCCCTTTTTTCAATCTTAATGATGAAGCATTATGTTGATGTCAACTCAAGCCATTGCATATTTGACGACCACAAGTCAGAGTACAGGATGGGTAGCGCAATAGCATTGATGCCGTTCTTCAGCAGCGTTGCTGCTTAGACCTGGAACCGCTTTCACCGAACCTCTCATTGCTTCAGGGTCGGGATTTTAGTAACAAACTTGCATGGAAACATTGCACTCCCTACTACCCAAACTGGAACCTTTAGACCTGCCATGCCAGGAAAGGATGACAATCCTCAAGTAAAACTCGAACCCACATCTATTGCGCGGACCATACACAAGTGCTGGAAGCCGCATGGAAGATGTGAAGATGGGTCGAATAGAAAAAATGGAAAGCCAGAGAATTGATGTGCAACAGTTCCAGTGCTTGGTTTAGCACTACGTCTGCTGAATTCCTGGCTCACTTGTTCATCTGAAATTAACTAAGTGGCTCACCAGTTGAGTGCGTTGATTGCCGATGTTTTCGTCGCACGCAGCGAAACCGAATGACGTCGAACGTGTCGAACGTGTCGCCATGCGTCCAGTCGCCAGGTCGAACCACCAGAAAATGAATACGACTTCGTTGATCTGCTGCTTATATGCTGCCACGCGTGCGCATTTCACGTTCACGCACGTTAATCCACGTCTTGATGTGTCCGGTGAGGTGCCAACGCTATATTCACGCATGTCAGCTCAAGTCCTAACGTGTTCGGCACGTGACGACGTCAGTACCTCGATCAATACTCACTGAGGTTTAGATCGTCACACTGGAAAGGAAACATTCCGATTCCACTTCGTCGACGATCAAATGGACTTTCTATCAAAACTGGTGGATGGACAGATTTCAGCTTAGGAATTCGAAACACCTCCTTCCGAAAATGAAACAAGAGGAATGTTAAGAGCAGCCAGACGATCTACCTTAAAAAGCAGTTGCAAAAACAGTTCATCCTATAAAGAGTGGTCGGGACCGAAGCGAAATATATTCATGGTGCAGATGTTCATGCCACTTTGTAATGTTGACCAACCCACTGTAGTGATTTGACGGGTGCCAACTTATATTCCACAAGTGTGGTTGGTATATTTACAGCGCACTCCTCCCAACGATTTACCGCGTCATCGTGGCTGGGAAGTATTCCTGGGTCTCGGCTGCGATGTATAGCAGGGGATTCATTCCGCCGTAGGGTCTCTCGAAAACGGAGAAGAAATCGGGCATTACTATCAGGAGGCTCAGCAGGAGTAAACCAACACCAATAATAGGATCCGTCCTGGTATCAAACCAGTAGCATGGTGGCAAATCTCCTGATTCACAAGGGCGACGACTGCCTGTGGTGGTGACGACCTGGGGCAGAGTATGGTTAGGATGTTCTCGGGACTCCAGCGAACCACAATGACTAAACCAGCAAATCTCTTAAAAGATGGAAATTACGCTTCAGCCCGCACAACCAGTGAGGACGGGCCGTCCAAGCATCCAAGTGGGTATAGAGCAGTAGGTTCCAATCACCAGAATTCATGGGTACGTTTGTGTTCCTAGTAAACCGAAACGAGTACAAAGATATAAAGTTTTATTGTAAGCAGGTTCTAGGCAGAGCATCTGACAAGAACGCAGATCTTTAGCACTAGTGACATGAGTGCTTCGACAGAATGGGTTATCCTCGCAAAAGCCAATTGTATATCAAAAGCTCCACTAAAGGAAAAAAAACATAATGCCAACATTTCAAAACCACTGATTCATGTAACAATTAGAATCTCTCCGAAGGTTGTTGATGCCAACGAGACATCACTGGGAACATGAAGTAGTAGTGGATGGAGTCACCCACCACTCTACTTCTTAAACGATGAAGTGATCTTTAGAAAGAACTCCAGTACGCAAATAAACAACAGATTCATTAGATTCACAGCAACAAAGTGTAGTCAAATTATAAAAAGAAACAGAAACTAACCTTAAAACGAGACAATCTAGACATAATGAACTACCTCCACTGTAGACAAGTACGAAAATTTTCAGTCATATTCAACTGTGATGGCAACATTCGACGGTAACGGTTAGGGAACTGATTCAGCGCATCGACAGCATCACCTAAACAGAAATATTTGGAGCTAATAAATAAAATATTAGGAAAAAGGATAAAGCTCTCGGCATTGGTCAATTTCTGCCTTCAAATTCTAAACCTTAATGTAGTAAAGGCGAAACTGACGTTCACAACGGACTACGGAATTATCCGATGAGGAAACTACGGTCTAATATTTGGCAACCTAAACCCTTCCCAGTTTTCTTATCACAGCTTATAGTGAGATGTGCTGTTCGATTGTTCAGAACTGTGTCCGACTAGAGACTGTGCCATTAACACACAAAAGTAACGACGCTAGCAGAACTTTACCACATAGCTTCAGTGAATACGCCTTGCATTGAGCATAGTGAAGCTTCCTCATTACTACCAACCACTTCTCCACAACCAGAACAGCGAATCGGAAAGGCGACTATTTGACGACTGAGGTCCTCTTGCTGAAGTAGATAACGCAATCGACTGCCTACAGTTCAAGAGTAGATTGCGAAACAAACGTCAGAATCAGGAGCTAAAAGTGTCGAGCGGCTTAAAAAAGGTACAACATATGTCAGGCCTTCTAGCAGCTTTCGAATATCGAAGCACAGTACGAGAGAAAGGCGTACACAGTATGATATGTGCGATACTGTGGGCAAAATAAAACTCGATCTTGTGAACAACATTTGCTAAAACAGCCCATTCTAACTCTTGCATTGCCAAAATTATTCATCCCAGAAAGTCTAAGAGTTGGCTGGATGAAGAGAAGAAGTGCAAAACCAATAGATTAAGGAATAGTGTCCAAAGTATATATATATATATATATATATATATATATCCTCCCAACGGTTTATCGCCTCATCGTGGCTGGGAGGTGTTCCTGCGTGCCAGACTGCGATGAACAGCGGCGGGATTCGTCCCCCTCCCCCCCCGCGGGGTCTCCCAAGCTGAGAAGGAGTCCGGCTTTTCCATCAGGAAGCCTAGCTAAAGGTAAACCAATACCAGGATCCACCACTGTCCTGGTATCAAAGTCGCATAGTGGCAAATCTCTCTCTGATCCACAAGGGCTGCAACTGCTTCTCGTGGTGACGACTTGAGGCAGACTTTGGCTAGGCTGTCTTCGGGATTCTAGAGAACCACAACAGCTTAACCAGGAAATCTCCGAAAAATGGTGATTGTGCTGGGGCCCACACAACTAGTGAGGACAGGCCATTCAAATATCAAGTATATATATATATATATTTATTTATTTATAACCCTTCTTCACGTCTGCTATGAGGGCCCGAGAGCTTCTCACATTCGATTCGCTTCCTCGCTTCCATCACCCACGAAGGTCTCCCAACTTTTACATGCGGCTTAGGCTACTGATTGAGGATCTTCATTTCATCTTGAATGTCGTAGAAGCCGGTCGAGTCGATTCACCCTGGAGTCCTGAAATAGCCGAGCTGGAGCGCTCCAATTAGACTGCAGAGAGTGATTTTTTTCCCGGACAAGTTCGGTTCCAATTCGTTGACCCTAGAGGGATGACAGGCTTGGTTGGCTCGTAGCGGAATCGAATTAGCACCATGCTCGTGATGACCGACATCACTACGACTGTGCTATCCGCTCCGTGTGTGCACACTTTGGACACATACAGAGTGTCCACAGTTTGTATATATAACTGTGATGATAGCTTATTTCATAATTCTAGTGTTCTGACCATTGGATGACTTAAATGGTTCTTATAGAATATCCGAATCAACCAAGACTTCTTAATATCGCTACCATACTAGTCACTACAACTGCCAAGAAAAAATTACTGGAATAACCCTACTTAAAAAGAACCACTGGAGACGTACGAGGTTTAACTTCGACAAGAGCGTAAAGTCACAAACAATCCTAATTAATTAATTATTACCGACAGATTTTTTCCCGTGGCAGAGGACTATGTCAAATACAACCACTATGATGCTGAGATATTTGCAAAACTCTGCCATCAGAGCGGATTCGAAACTGCGATAGCACTTCCCAAAATAGATTTTCTATTAACTTCGGCATTGGATTATAAATACCTCGTTTTCTTTCTCAGGTATCGCGTGTTTGTTTCTTAATATACAATTTTTATTCGGCTAACGTTTCGACGGTTTCGTCTTCATAAAAGCCGATGATCCGAGTCGACGGTGCACAGTAGTTCGTGTTCTCGAGGTGGCGTCTTCGTGGCGCATCGAACTGGATTCCTCATCACTAGAGCATCTCTCTAGAATAACAACCTCACGAGCTGAGAAAGAAAACGAGATATTTATAATCCAATGCCGAGGTTCATAGAAAGTCGATCTTGGGAACTGCGATTACACTTTCCAGGAGCCCATCCGCCACCCATTGCACCACCTTAGCCTTGGATTTGTCTTTCTCAGCTAGTTCTTTTAACCTTAAAGGTGCCATCAGCTATCTAGGCAGCACAAAAAATTTCAAAAAACCCTTTCCTTGCCTTCCCTTCTGAAATTCGACATGTTTTTTCGTCGGTAACCAATCGAACAATACCAGGTCCGGACAACTTGCACACCCAAAGAGCCTTCCGCTAGTCATCATTAACACACTTGCTCGACTCTTCACAAGTTGCCTTTGCAGGGTCCCCATCCAGTGGAAGACAAAGACCGTTTTACTGTTCAAGAAGGCTGTCCTCCACGATATCAGCAACTATTGCCCAATCTGCTTACCGTCTGTACAAACTTTTCACTCTAGTCGTCCTAAACAAGGTTGGCAGAACACTGGAGGAAGGATAGCTAAGTGAGCACGCAGGTTTCCGAAAAGCATTCGGTGTGGTGGACCACATCCACACGATAACAAGACTCATTGAAGTATGGCAAGGGTACAAGAGACCGCTCCGTCTCTTTCATCGCTTTAAAAAAAAACTTTTGACTTAGATGAAATAGAACCAGTCACGGAAGATCTGGACAGCTAAGGCGTCCTCACTCGATATATCAAGATTTTTCGTGAGCTGTATAAGAACTTAACAACTAAAACAACACCATCCTAGAGTGATATTAAAATCGACATCAAAAAAGGTTTAGGCAAGGCGATACCATCTCGCCAAAATTGTTTACCGCCATCCTCGAGAACGTCATACGAACATTGGAATGGAACAACATGGGAGTGAAAATCGATGGCTGGCAATTACACCTTATTTGCTTTGCTGATGACATCGTCCTTATAACACCAAACATTAGCCAAGCAGAATGAATGCTTGTCGACTTTGATAAGGCCTGTGCAAAAGTTGCTCTTCGACTAAATCTCACGAAAACGTTATTGATGGGGATGAGATTGGTTATGCTTCATTTACGTTCAACGGAATGGATATTTTCGGATGTTCCAGTTACGTCTTCCTAAATCGGGAAATCAACATGGTGAATGACTTAGCTCCAGGGTTGAGCAGAAGGAAACCAGCGGCTTAGGGAGTTTTCAAGAGTATCCAGGATGTAGAAGAATAAGGAACATCCGACTCCGTGCACACCTGTTCGACTCAACGGCACTTCCTGCCTTAACGCATGTGTCAGAAACCTGGTCGCTGCTTAAGCAGGATGAAGGATCACTCAGTGTTATTGAACGCGCAGTGGAAAGGACGACGATAGGATAACTCGTGCCACACGAGGGAGGGAAGCGTCGAAATCT